CTTAGTAATGCCGTTGTGATGTCATTTGGGTTTTAAGAGGGAGTTTGTATACACAAGTGTTTGGAATTTTGTTTTTGATGAGTCCGTTGTTTGGAAATCGCGGCACAAATTTTGATCTATAACTAAAAAAAAAAAAAAAGGTTGCATCAACTTATGCCAAGGGTCAGGCGTGTTACCTCATCCAAGCAATTACCAAATTCAAACCTTAGTCATCCCATGGCAAACTTTCCAATGACTGCAAACTCGCGCGGCTATTACTAGGAAGTTCACGTCGACCCCTTCGGCCCGAAACCCAAGCCGCATTTTACGATCAGCCGCCCGCCTCAGTCCAGCGGGTAGGCAAATCAAAAGTGATGCTCGCCCAGTCGGGGCGGTAATTTGCCCACGGTCGCCGAGTCACGCTAGGCCCCGGGCTGGAAGAAGAGTGCTTTGCCCCCGGAAGAAGCCCACCCGTGCTGGGTTTGCTCCCGTTACGGGTTTGAAGTGGTACAATCTGCGCCTGCGCGCGCCTGCGCGCGAGCTTCGGGCCCATGGTTTTGTGGCGTGATATACGATATCACGCAATGCGCATTGAGTGGGAGCAATGTTATCACGACAGCAATCCATGGACGTTCTCTAAGGTAACCCGTGGGAAAACACAATATCGTTGACTTGTTGAGGTGAATCATTTAAGAAAGTTAGGGCCGTTTTGATTTGGCGTACCACCCACTAGTACGGCAAAGCAGAACAGCCGGTCGCCCGTACTTTTGTATCCCGATCATTATATGACTGCCAACTTGTAGGTCTGGGGTTTGAGGGATATCATTAAAAAAAAAGTAAAACTTAATATTTCATTTTAAGGTCACGTTCTTTAGTTTTTAAGGATTCAATAAAAACTGGACTTCTATACGCCATTGAATGTTCAAGGTAGCTATAAACCGTAGTCAGTCAAACAATAAAATAAAAATGGCCTTTTAACTGGTACTGAATGGGCAAGGTACCTTACGCAAAACAACCGTCAATATCAAGACCCTAAGGGGCCTTCTCTCATGAAGATGCTACTTTGATTCCTATATATCGATGTTAAATTATGTTCCCATAACGTAAAAACTTGGACAACAATCTTCGCTGTGAAATTGAAGTTGTAGCTATTAAAAGACTGTCATTCATTTTTATTTTTAATAGGTTTGCCTACAACATGCTATATGCAAAATGAAATCGACAGTTATGGAAAAAAGAGTTAAAATAAAATGTGAAGGCAACTTGGCGGTACAAAAAGAAAGGAATTGTTGAAATATTCATTGTCTTATTGCTCTTAATTCACTTAATTGCCGAGAATTATATTATCTGCATCGCCAGCTGATATGTTTCTCGGAGCGGGTCGCAGCCATCGGCATGCCGGTATAACGGCGCGTCACGTCGCGATCGCTCACCGGGCCTGTTCCGAGCCCGGGGCCGCGGCTTGGCGCAGCGTGGCGGAGAGGCTGCAGCATCAGGGTCCGGGGGGAAACTGAATGAATGAACCCCATACAGGCCGTCCCGTCGAGAAGGGACGGATCACCCGAAGGTCATAGTGGAGTGTCTGCAAGCCAAGAGAAGTCAGAGAGGCCCGTGGAACCTTGTTTCATGAGGAAAATCATTTTATTTGGGTGAAAATGTACTCTCACTAAAACATACGGACAAGACGTAAATCTCATTCAGTCGAACACAACCGACTTTTCATACTCGAGTTTCAAGTCAAAATTGCAGTGATTTTCACTCTAAAACCGTCTGGTCCCCTTTTTCAATCTTCTGAATTCAGAGGGGAAAAAAAGATTCACTAAGATATTTTTAACTACTAGACCACATCTGATAAAAAATTCTCTGATGTGACTTTGAATCTAATTTTCTTATTTATTCTTTAATTCCTTAATGCCCATTTAATGCCCATTTTACAACCACATTATAATTTCAGAATTATGGGCAAGACAAAGCCAAGATATGTTTCCATCTGTCAAAAGTGTTTGAGAAGTTCGTCTTCTGTTACCCCTGCCCCCCATAAAACAGAAATGAATATTTTCCCCCGAGTTCTACTGACCCATTGCCGTGACCCAATTCCATCTCACCATGCCATCATGCCTAATGGTCTCCGACAGATCAGCCTAGTAAAACAGAAACGCATCAGTAAGTTTTGCGGCAATTTCATTCCGTAACAAATTAAAGATTCATCTCGCATTGATGCGCGTGACAGAGCAAAGGCGGCGATCAAAGGAATCACGAGTTTCCTAGTTCCAAATCGCATGCATCGCAGAATCCTTCGGCTATGTATTGTGATCCCTTTTCGGACCAGAAACGGAAGACTTTTGGCATGAATTAATATCGAAACAGCGGTGAACAAGATTTGACTTCAGTTAATAAATCGTATACTAGTGTGGAAGTAACATAAATCAAAACAGAAAACAATCCGTAACATTATTCATTATCGGTATGATTTATCGTAATTTAATGTCGAAGTTGTCCACTGCACTGACACCAGTATAGTGCTAATCGTTATTGTCGAGTTAATTAAGGAAAACTGTAGGCCTATAATATCACATTTGAAAATCAAAGTGATATATTGGGCTCTCCATTTTGCGGACCAACACAGTTTGTTCAAAGACACCAACCTTAAACAACAACAAAATCGAACCGAGTCCAACTGGCCGGGAGTTTGCTGCCACCTACAGTTCACCAGATGTCTCGCATTATGTTCGATAATTATGATACAATAAACCTCATTACTACAACTCAACGGGTTTGTTCCCAGGCGTATCACCGTCAATTCAAGCGAAATTAGCTTAATCCTTAAAATCCGGTGCGAAAGTGTCAGTTCATAATGGAGGCAAGTGTCGGCAACGCGCGTCCGATTTCGCACAATTTCACTTGACAACCCGCTAACAACTTCCCCGACCTTCCGACATCTTAATTGCTGACGATTAATTTTTGGTCATCTTTTTTTCTTCTTCAATTCACCAACGAGAGCTTTTCAGGAAATGTCCAAGATGTCCTCGAGTTTATCCCCGAGACAATGCCCAACAATTGGGAGGCGCACGCGACCCCACTTGAGCTGTAGTGGCCGGGGGAAGGCACTGCTCGTTGAACGGCTCTCGCATTTGTCCGCGGAAAGTGGACCAGGGATTTCCACGCATGCGGGCGTGCTGAGATTCACCGCGTCGAGCCACTCAACCGCCCCGTCGGTGCACCGCCCCAAGGCCCCGGGACGCACGGTGGTTTGATGGCTCCTTGATTGCCGAGGTGTAGACCTATCGCTGGCTAAGAGGCGCTTGAAACCGCCAGCGTGGTGTCCATTTTACCATTCTTAAAGCAGGCTTATCAGAGCTAGATGTTATTAAAATCAAACGAGGAAGACAGCATGATGTTTCGACCTGGATCTTTCTCAAAGCTCTTTCTGAAAAAGCATGTCTGAGGCATTCATTATTTAGACGGTTGCTAAAAATTCAAGTCTCAGCACATTTCTCGCAACACTTTGATTCATACATCATATTGCAACTACTAACCCTTAACTGCCCGCAGCGGTGTCGTGAAAGTTGCAGTGCTTGAACAATTCTCTTGGTTTTATTTCGACAAAAGAATCACATAAACAGCTCAACCCCACGGATTTGGTAGTTTGCTGTTTTCACTATAAGCTTTACAAAGCAAAAATCAAATACATGTATTGCAATCATTCAATAATTGTTCATAAATCGACTGCTTCGTGCTCCATTTTATGTTTCGAAATATGATTGAAATCAAACATACTCCATGCTCCAATGGACACTTTCTTTGTTTCCGAGGGTTAAATTTGAATTAATAAACTTTTTAGGGGGTCACCCCGGTGTAATGACACCTCTTCTGTGGTCCCTATGGAAGCCTACGTTTTGGTGAAAAGAAAAGCTGCACTGGCCACTGAAACTGGTTCTTAAACAATGCTTTGTAGTCCAGTTTACTAGACTAAATAGAAACGACGCCCACCCAAGGCAGCCATGTGGTTTTTTTTCCAATGTGAAGCTGCAAAGAACACTACGATCATACAGTAGAGGGCAGCAGAAGCCGAACATGTGCCAGTGAAAAGGTCATGGATCATGGGGGCGCTCGTCATCATGGTCGATCGAATGGGCGGCTAGAACAGTTAAGTTAAAACAGTGAAGGAACTAAAAAAAAAAATCCACAAGTTACCAGGCTGTTGGCGTAGCTGGTGCAGAGTTGTAATGACCCGAGTCAATGACTCGACTCAAGTCCGATTCGAGTCACAATATTTGGTGACTCGACTCGAGTCCCTAAATGGGTAAATGACTCGAATCGAGTCACTGCGAGCAAATGACTCGACTCGACTCGAGTCTCCCATCAGAAGACTCGACTCGACTCGAGCGAAGGCTAATAAGACTCGAGTCCCAAAAACAAAAGCGAAATTTTGCGACAAATATTTGCAATTAGGTAAGGGTGCAAATTTATGTTCACGTCAATTGCGATTACAGTAAGGTACAGCGGTCGCTTGTGATGCACAAACATAACATGTCACAGACTCCCATCCATATATTGTTCAAATATTTGTGACTCGAATTGACTCGAGCTAAATATTTAACACAACTCGACTCGACTACATTCTGTGACTCGACTCGACTCGACTACATTCTGTGACTCGACTCGACTCGACGCGACTCTTAATCTTTTAAATGACTCGACTCGACTGAGTCAAATCAGTGACTCGTTGCAACTCTGGTAGCAAATTCCTTTTTTTCGAGGGAGATTTACCCAAAATAATTGCAAATTCTAGAATCTTTGCGCTTTAATTTTCTTATTCTAGGGGTCCGGAATCGCGCCACCATGCAGGGGTGAACTTTCAGGCTCTGTTATTGCGGGTCCCAGTCCCACAGCACCTAACCTTAGCTAGCTTGGCAGTTCATTTTTCTATTTTGAGATTACGAATCAATGGGAAAACATGTTAGCGCCCTCAATAGTCGACCTATGAAAACTCCCTGCACGATATCTGGTATCCTGGCCTTGTACTTATTTTATGAATGCAAAACACATAGGTACCAGTCTACCGTGGTGAGTTTGGATGGCGGCGTGGTGAATTTCTTTCAAAGTTTTCAAGAGGATTTGCGGACTCAGTGGTTTATAATCCTGGCCAGAAAGGGTAATTTTGCCCTAATATTGTAACAGTAATTGTCGATGATTCTTGTAATTACGTTTTCAGATAATTATTAATATTATTAACCCAGGCCGTGATGGAAAGATTTCGATATGTGTTTATAGCTCCATGATCTCACTAGTCACTAAGTCGGGCCATCACTTGTCAACCTGTGCACAAACCCTATGGGACTGGTCTGAAAATTTCTGTTTTCTCAGTAAAAATTAAAAACTTGTCCCTGCTAATTTTTGACCCTTTTTTTTAAGGACATATCACTTTCTGAAGTGATAGGTCATTTAAGGGAAAAACTACTGATGACCAGATGGGAATTTTTTTAAGTATTATTTAATATTTTTAAGGCGGTCTTATTTTTCATTGAATTTTATACCTAATTTTTAATATATTTTGTATGTTACATGTACCATTCAAGTTAGGATTGACAGGCTTTCGAGTCACAGTGTCTTATTATACTTTTGTCAATCCTGGCCAGCTTGGATTGGATTGTTTTTGTTTAGTTTTGTTTACTTTTGTGAATTGCTTGTTGTACCTTGTAATTTGGCCGAATAAATAATAATAATAATAATAATAATAATAATCTTTCTGAACTTAACTATGGTACCCTCTGTATTACTACTCACTCTACCGAAAAGGCATACTTTGAGTAGGCCCTACACAATACTACTGACACACGGTATGCATTTTTTTGCATACCCTGGAGGACAAAAGGCCCCCGAAAAAAACTGGTAAAGAGTTCCATGACATTCCATAAGACCCCTTAAATTGTTCCCAACTGGTTGAAATTTAAAAAAAAAGTACAAACCATTATTTCTGATAGTGATAAGCTTACCGCTCACAATTAAAAATGTGTCTGCCGAGTTGTGCCATCCATTTCTTTGCTGATCGGTTGAGGGCGTGTGTGACGTCACTATCGAAGAAAAACAAGTCGTGCTTAATCAACGACTGTTTTGTGTAGTTTTGAGGGGGGATACCACTTGTATTACTGACTGGATACTATGATTGTTTTGTGTAATGATATGTGCTGCGCACTGTATGACAGTGTGGGCTTTTGGCACAGGGAACATATCATTACACGAAACAGTCGTAACCAGTCAGTACAATGGGTGGCTTGTGCGTAAAGCGCTCGCCTCTCACCAAGGTGACCACGGTTCGAATCCTGGCCGCAGATCACATGTGAGTAGAGTAGTGCGTTGGTTCTCTCCTGTGCCACGTGGGTTTTTCTCCGGGCCCTCCGGTTTTCCTCCCTCCGGAAAAATCAAACACTTTCGATCTTAGGCTGTGCTCCGTGGTCATATGGGTCGATGTGGCCAGCAGCCATAGGCACCTTTACGTGCCAGCGGCCCGACCACGTTGTAGCCGCGTCCTTCGCAATTCAGCATACCAGCTGCGAGTAAGGATGATTAGCCTCCCAAATTATTATAAAAGAGATCAGTGGTATCCCCCCTCAAAGTCATCCAATGTATAGGCCTAAGTAGCATCTCACTGGTGTTCATTACATGCATTGTATGTTTCCCCAAACTTACATTACAGATGGACGGACCGAGGAACAAAATCCGCATCTCCAATCTCTCTGCCGCTGCAAGCCACTCCAAGATATCTCACATTTTCAAGAAATTCGGCCAGATTACAAAAGGTACAGTGGTTAAGTCAGTGCGGATAATGACTCTGTATTTTACATTAGTCATTAGAAAGTCCAGACTAAATCGTCTCCGTTTTCACAAACTGACACGCACACGCTGTGTGGTGTCGGTTCGTGAAAACTGCGTAATCAATCACTTCGGTTTCACGAACTGACACACCGGTGAGTGCGCGCACTTGGCACACTGACACGTACAATTTGTGTAATAGAATAATTTTCGTTTTCACAAACTGACACGCAAGCATGTGGCGGAAATACGTTTCGGAGAAAAAAAGCTTTGAAAGGTTTGACACAAATTTACTCCATCCGTATACATTGTACTTGTGGGCTTACACAAGATTTAAATAATGAAAGGTTTGCGGAAACACCATGTGCGAATAATTTCTCAACTAAGAGAATGGTTCTGAAAAGAACCAGAGGTGTAAACTCGACGTTCTGGTCAGTATGCTCTGACCGTCTTCAGGAGAGTGCCTAAACTCTAAGAAAGTGAATACTTACATGTAAGTAGCAAAAGGCGAAATCAATGAAGTGTGAAGTTGCATCCTGTGAGGATGCCAAGTAGACGGGATCATAGAGCAAGCTTGGTGCCCACTGAAGTGGGACAGTAGGGTTGCAGTGTCAGTAGAGGGAGGACCTAGGGTATAGGAGACCCATCAGTCTAAGGTGGTAGCTGAGGACCTAGGGTATAGGAGACCCATCAGTCTGAAAAGTGGGAGCCAGATGTCGTTGAGGTGAAACCCAATTTAATTAAAAACCGTATTACTGGTGACATTTAGACCAGGTGTCAGTTTATGAAAACAAACATGTTCTGAGTGCGCGCATGTAGTGCCGGGTGTAAGTTCGTGAAAAACAAATTACCCAGTTCTGTTAAGTACGCGCACGTGCCAGGCACTCCCCTGCAACTGAGTGTCAGTACGTGGCGTCTGTGGCAAAATTAGCGCACAAAATGTTGTAAAAAGTTTGTTTAATGTCAAATATTCAAACGTCATTTCACCCTCTGGAGTAATGTACATGGGCTCCTTGCACAAACCAGGGAGGGCGCTTTTCGACCACTTTCAAGAGCAGTGCGTTCGCATACGGCCTGGTGTGCATATAGTGCAAAGTACAGTGGAATCTCGATCAGTCAAACCTCGGGGGAGTTGGCTCAAATTATGAGTTGAGCAGAGTTTTGAGTTATGCAATGGATTTTCTGTTCAACAACAATTGACGAGAATAAGTTGGAAGGGTTCTTGATTTAACAGGTTTTGACGTATCGAGATTTCAACACATTCTTATTCTGAATGTAGACAAAGCCATATCGTCTTCTTATCAATGTCAGGCATCATCAAAAATGTGTTCAAATGTCACTCCCAGAGGTCTCCCCCAACTCTCCCTTTCTTGCCGTTGAGGGGGTAGGATGGGTTGCCATATTATCGCGGTATTTGTCACGTTTCTCGTTAGGAATACAGATTGCCCACTAACCTCTTCAAATTGTCCTGTCTTTTGTGTAGTATAACTCTTCCTTTTCAAATTAGTATACAAAAATCTGACGGTGGTGCGGTTTATTCCATGTACGATGCCTGTGAAAATAGACATGCTCGGAGTGTGCAAATGGAGGTGGACTCCTATTATCGCGGTATGCGGGAAGTGGTTTTTATAATGATCCCAACTTTTTTATTCAAAGTTAATGTTTGACAAAAACATCCCCTGAATAAAGTCTGATATTTTCCCTGTAACGGTCAAGTTGATTACAGACTATATTTCTGCAGGATGATTTCTTAAGACCCTGCCCTTCCGTTTTATTTTCGCTAACGCTCGGTGCTTATTTTGATCCCGTAAAAGTTGTTATGATTTCGCGCTGCAAATATCATCGTTCGAATTCATTTTACATTTGCAGCTGAAGAATGGGAACCAGACAATGGAACTTTCATGGACAGAGCACAATTAAAGATTAATGTTAAAATATAAACGGTACCTTTTAGCAGACACGGTGAGGGGAAATTTGCAAGTTTTGTAAATCGTTAATATTTATTAAAAATCGTTAAAAGTCCCAAAAGACACAACATTTTTTAATCGTCCTTTTCATACAACTCGGCAAAAAATCCTCAATGCCTGGTGAACTGGATAAAAATCGCCACTTGAAGGAGTTTTGGCAACGCAAAAAGAGAAATTTCCCATGCCGCGATAATAGGGATGCCGCGATAATAGGGAGTCCGACTATACTTGTGCACGGAGCCGACAGTGTTTTATTGTTGACAAATTAAGGGCCACAGTGCACAGCCTCTGTTGTTTAATTGACATCAGTTGAGTATTTTTACCTGTTTTGTTCCTCCAGTTTACATCCAGCGTCAGGGTGCGACATGGAACTGTGGCGGCCTAGCCTACGTTGCCTACACGGATGCCGAAAGCGCTGCCAAGGCAGTGGACGAGATGAACGGAGAGGTATTCTTTACGATGCTTTGTATTTCTTAATCTTTCGTTTGTTGGATTTTTTTAAAGCAAATCCCGAAAGACAAGTTAAGTAACATTTGAAAAGTATTCATGAGTGGGAATTTGCGTCGGGGTGATGTAAATTTTATATTAGGTTTTGCCCTTCACCGACGTGTAAACACTGTATACTCAGTGTGCTACCCCCGAGTGTAAGTTAGAAACAAATCACTCGGGTGGGACTCGAACCTACCAACCCAGCCAACTGACTTTTCTTTCGGCAAGCTCGGTGGTCAAGTGGTAAGACGTCTTCACTAGAATGCAGGAGGTCGCGGGTTCGAGTCCCATCTGAGTAAATTTTCTCTAACTTTCACTCCGGAGGTAACACACTGAGTGTACAGTGTTTATACGTCAGTGAAGGGCAAAACCTAATATTAAACGTTTGAAAAGCCACCTAGAAGTTTTTTGCAGGACTGCAAAAGGCAGAGCCCCACTGTTATTAACAATGTGTGTGCAAGATTCTTGAAAGTTCCTTGACCCTAACCCTGTCAGACGCAACACAGTGCATCAGGTGTCAAAAGTCTGTGGGGCCTTGCTGCACTGAGCCATCAACACCAGTGCATCAACGGCCAATTCTGAGACAATGAGAGCTAGTCCCATTGAACAATGCCACAGCTGTATCCTGCTGCAGTTCGTGACCACAGACTCTGAGGCAGTTCAGCCTTGAGACTTTCGACCTGATGGATCTTGCTACACTGGGAAGGCTTGTCATTTTGACAGGTATATTGCTGCGTTCGGCAGGGTTTCTAGCCAAAATACCCTGAGTTAGAGTCATTTAAATGTGCAAAAGGAGTTGCGGTTTAAAAAAGAAAAGTTGCAGTGAATTTCTTTCTGTGCTCCTTCAGATGTTTGATGAGACCATCATGTCTGTGGAGCTTGTCTCAGAACGTGAGTTTCTTCATCACGTGAAGACGATGCCTGCCTCATCCATGGTTGACGGTGCGACTAAGCCATCGAGAAAACAAAAGTAAGATGCCTGGTCCCCACAATAGAGACCAAATACGTAGGAGCCATATCGTTAATTATTATTAATATCAGGCTTGCAGTGGTAAAAATACATTAGCGTGTCATATGCTTTTGTAAAAAGTACCCAGATAATAATAATAATAACTGTATATATATAGCGCTTTTTGCCAGAGGATACAAAGCGCTGGGGGAGAATGTAACCAAAGCCAGGTAAATGAAGTATATGAACATATGAGACCCATTATGTAGCACCTTTTTTCTAGGTGCTGCGGCGCATAATTGCTGCCACTGCCAGAAACACCGGGGCAAACCCCTCCTCTTAGCGACAAGTGTTACTGGGTTCTTTAACGTGCATTACACAACACACGGGACCTACGGCTTTACGTCCCATCCGAAGGACGAAGCAATAATGGTTAAGTGCCTTGCTCAAGAGCACAAGCACCATGTTCCCACGGTCAGGATTCGAACCCGTGTAGCATGGCACACGAGTCGAACACCGTAACCATTGGACCACAGCACCCCATCAATACTATGTCATTAAAAGTACCCGGATGAGGACAGTATTATTTTTGATATTGTCTTTCTCTGTGTGTTTTTTTCTTCAAATTTCACTGGTTCCCACAATATCAAGAGCATAGAAGCTCACCGTTGTAAACCAATCAAAAGAGTGTAGCCATTTTTAATATATGTTTTTTTTTGTTAACACATTTTTATAGATTTTTATAGATTTATATATATTCTTTGTGTAGCCAGAGGTATTGGAATTGAAGGCCTTCGGGCCACAGTTTTTAGGTAAACTTGTTTAATTCCGGGCATATGCCCCTGGCTTTCGTCATGTTCGTTTTTGTTTTCTTGGTTTTTGGTTTTCTCTATATGTGAATGTTTGTTGCTTGTGTTTTTAATGCCGAATAAATAATAATAATAATAATAATAACACGATTTATTTCAGGAAAGCACCAGCCCCGACCCAACTGACGCCCAAAGACATAGCACTGGCGCCAAACGCGGAATGGGAGCCCTACATCCCTCCATCTCAGTACGGGCCCGTCCAGTACCCAGCAGTAAAGAAGGAGGCCCTCTCTGATAGCCCTCAACCTCTCCCGCCTGGGACAACCCCAAAAAACAACTCTCCTTTTGCCAAGAAAAATAACTCGAGACACGAGAAACCGCAGAGTCGGAAAACACAAGCAGCCTCTGCAGTCGGTGTCGCTCGTCAAGAATCGAAATACAATCCGGAAGATCGTGGTGGCAGACCGTCACTCAGGGGTACTTACAAAAGTGCCCCAAAACACCCTGTCCCCAACATGTCCCATAAAGGGGACCATTATGATCCACCTTCCACTTGCGGCGACCCCCCACGCAAGACGGCTGCCAATGACTCACTGATGCAGAATACACTCAGAGGTGACCGGCGGTCATTCGGAGATGACCCTTACAGGGACCCAGTTTACCAAGACCCTCCACGCAAGATGGCTACCAGTGACCCGCTGACCCAAAGGTCACTCAGAGGTGACCGGCGGTCATTTGGAGATGACCCTCACAGGGATCCAGTCTACCAAGACCTACCGAGGTCATCCAGGGCTGACCATCACACTGACCATTCCAGAAATCACAGAAGCCACCCCCGCAGTGACCCAGAGCCTCCACTTCGTTCCCTCCTACCAAGGCGAGATTATGAAGGTAGGCTTGAACAACTTCGCCTCAAAATCAATTCCAAAGTCGAGATCCAAAATTTGTAAACATTTACAAGAAAAGCCTCCATGCAGGAAAATTCACAATTTTTCTGATTTGTCTGAACAATGTTCGGTCGTTTCTAGTACATGTGGCAGTTCAAATTGATTGCACTTTGTAATTTTTTTTTACCAGAGCACTTCATGCACCTCATTTTGCCATCTTTGTTGGATGTTGTCCATAATTTTTACCGAGACGCTTTCTTTGTTTCAAAGATGACCCTCACCTGGAGAGCGACCGAAGACGACATGACCGGTATGACGCTCCGAGGAGCAGAGATTACGAGTATGAAAGGTTCCCGGCAACCAGCCACAGAGGTAATTTTTTTGGTGACATTTGACCTTTGTAACCTCTTATACACACATACAGGTATATCATAATTATTCCTCCAGCTCAACAGGCCAATGAAAATGCCCCAAAGACTATCTCAGCTTCCTGGGGAGCATACAGCTCGAAGTTGCCATGTAGGGTTAACCAACTGAATCAAACGCAACCATCTCTACCCTCACAGGTACCCATTTACTCCTGGGCGGGGAGAAACAATGTGTGAAAAGTGTCTTGCCCATGGACACACCCATCATAACCCCAGGCTGGACTCGAACCCACAACCTGCAAATTTCCCACATGATCTTGAGTCCAGTGTACCAGACCACCAGTCCGCTGTGCAACTAGTGATCGGTTCCCCTCAAATGATTGGTTTTCTGTTTGGTTTCAGAGCGTTCACCGTCCAGACATCACTGGGACCTGGACCCCCTTCCGAGCACCTCCAAGCGCCGGGTCTACCCTGACGACTACATTGAAGGTAATTTCGGTGTTTTCTCAAGATACTTTTCTAAAAAATGGCATCTCTTATTAATCTCCTAGCGTAGCACTTTATCGTGAAACGCTCCCATGGACCTGTACTGCGCTCAGCTCCAAGAGATTCAAGTCAAATTAATCACAAGTCAAACTAGAAAGCACTCCGAGAGCGCAAACCTCCGCCAAAGCTTAACAATTTCCCGCCATATTGTCCTGTTCACAGACAAACCAACTAACCATCTGACCAACAAACAAACCAACGTCGATTAAAACATAACTTCCTTGGCGGAAGTAATTAACTGTCCATCACAAAACAAGTCACAAGTTAAATCTGACCGTTTGGTTCACAGGTTAAAGGATGACGAACGAAAGAAATGCGTTTGTCACACCATAGAGCAAGGACCCAAGGAGTTCGTACTCCAAGACTTCAAAAGTAAAATGATGGTCGCCGCGCTCTAAAGCTACAATAGAAAGCACCTGGCGCCAGCTTGCTCAGTTGCTCACTACGCTAATCTCGACACAACAGAGATCCGCGCTCACTAATGCCAGAAAAAGGAGTTTGCATGGCTTCGCAGACAGTACCATGGTAAATACGCATGCGCAGTTGTCATACATCGCTAAAAATGAATGATTTTGAAGTGTTTGTTCGCAGTTGGATGATACTGTATATAAATGTGGTCAACATCACTGGAACAATAATTTCATGAAGAACAAAATGCTCTGTACCTTTAGTGTGAAAACTTGTGAAATTTTCCAAAAAAACACATTTCATCAATGATATATTGCCATTTAAAATGCCTGAAAATACATGAAAACTTATCTGAAAGAAATCCAATTTATCTCCAAATTACAGGGACAGATACCGCTTTTAAGCACCAACAACTGCACATTGCTAACTTGAGTTCATAACTCACACCTAACAACTGCGCAGTTGTAAAAACCTATCTTGTCGTAAAATATATTTTTCAAAAAAGAGCAGCGACGTGACATGACTTATTATGCAGCATATAGGGAGGTTGTTGGTTACCAACTAAAAAGGCGGCGACGATCATCGTGTTCAAAGGCCGCTGGCATTCACGCTTTGAATGGTCGAGGCTTGCGGTCACAGTGCTGTAGCTATAGACATTCCCGAGGGATTGGTATGTTAATGGTCAAAATGTAAATCGCCCAAGAGTTCTGACTCCTTGGGTCCTTGCTCTATGGTCACACTACATGAGTGATTTGAATAATTCTTGTACTAAAAAAAAAAAATGGACCACAGCGTGTAGAACGCCGTGGTCCAGTGGTTACAGTGTTTGACTCATGTACGAAGATGCGTGGGTTCGAACTCTGCCAGGAACATGGTGTTTGTGCCCTTGGGCAAGACACTTGACTACAATTGCCTCTCTCCACCCAGGAGTGAAAATGGGTACCTGTGAGGGTCGAGGACCGATTGAGCGCTGATATCGGCTGCCGCGTGGTCCCATGGCCTGATGAACGGAGTAATAATTGTAAAGCGCTCTGAGATCGTTGATACAATGGAAAGCGCTATATAAGCACAATAATTATTGTTATTATTATTATTATTACATTCAACCCTTTAGTCACTGTGGTGTCCAAAATATGCCTTGCCTATTACTTACGTTTGCATTTGAAACCAACCAAGCACACTACAGGGTGAGTAAAAAAAACGAAACCAAAATGTCCGAACCATTGTTTTAGTGAAGTTCTGCATGTAGCACTTTCAAAATCTAGGATATGAAAGTGCAATTCATAGGCTTTTTTTAGTACAAGAATTATTCAAATCACTCATGTACTTTTCAACTTACGGAGTTTTAAACACAACCACCGTTTGAAAGTTCTGTCCACGGATCACAAAAACGTTCAGTGTCCTTTCGGCGAAACGAAAACAAATCACATAAGGATGTGTATGAATTGTTTCGTTTTGCTAAAACAACACACAACTTTTTTGTGATCCTTGCACAGAACTTTGGAACGGTGGTTGTGTTTAAAACTCTTTAACTTGAAAAGTACATGAGTGATTTGAATGATTCTTGTACTAAAAGAAAGCTTATGAATTGGGCTTTCATATCCTAGATTTTGAAAGTGCTACATGCAGAACTTCACTAATACAACTGTCCCGACATTTGGGTTTCGTTTTTTTTTTACTCACCCTGTGTGGTTTTAATGATTCATCAGTGACTAAACACAATGTAATACAAAGTAGTACCGGTGCCAATGGTTTGAATAGTTTTCATCTTTACTTGAAATTGAAGAACTTGTGATACACTTATGCTTGACCTTTAAAGACTTGTGATGACTTCAACTGTGAGAGTTACAAAGTAGTTTGTCCTACTCTTATTTCCATGAAACCCTGCAGTCCCACGTGCCCGTCTGTACGACGATGACCCCTTAAGACGAGATCCCTACCCTAGGGATCCCTACCCCCGTGACGACAGGAGGGATCTAGACCCAAGGGAGGAGAGACTCTACCGGGAACCGGTCAGGGATGGGTACCGAGAACCGGACAGGGTAGACGATAGGTATTCCCTGGAGCGAGACCGCGCTGATGCTTGGGGACATGATGACAGGCGTCTCTCAGACGACAGGCTGTACCGTGAGCCTGAGAGGTTGGTCTCTCTTCTGAATCAGTGTACAGTAGAACGCCGCTATAACGAACATCGCGGCCGGGATCCACAGAAAATGTTCGTAATAGTGATCGTTCGGTATAGCGATTTTAAGCTGCCGGTGCTCCGGTACTCACTTTTCAATAAATGCGCCCTTCATAACTTCACCGTGCACACCCTGGTCGTTACTGAAAGATAACTTCGAACATGTGCCGACTATTATGTAATTACACAGTTTTGAGCTTACTACCTACAGCAATGGGTGGCTTTCCCCTTCTATTCCTTGGGGAAATAATAGCCACTTGTCACTCTTCTGTTGACGGTTTTCAACAACAATGTTCGGTTGGTTTTGTACACAAAAATCGGGAGCCAAGGACGATGTTCGGTATAGCCGAATGTTTGGTATAGCGGTGTTCAGTATAGCGACGTCCCACTGTATATGTTCTATTTGTCTCATAGAGCAAGGACCCAAGGAGTCGGACCTCTTGGGCGATTTACATTTTAACCATAAACATTCCAATCCCTCAGGAATGTCTATAGCTAAAGCACTGTGACCGCAAGCCTAGACCATTCATTGCGTGACTGCAAGCGGCCTTTGAACACGATGATCGTCGCCACCTTTTTTAGTTAGTTACCACCAACCTCCCTATATGCTGCATAATAAGTCATGTCACGTCTTGTTCTTTTTTTGAAAAATATAGTTTACGACTAGAAAGGTTTAACAACTGCGCATTTGTTAGATGTGAGTTATGAAATCAAGTTATCAATGTGCAGTTGTTGGTCCATGAGAGCGCTATCTGTCCCTGTAATTTGAAGATAAATTGGATTTTTTTCAGATAAGTTATGTCTGTTTGGACATTTTAATTGGCAATACATCATGTATGAAATGCGATTTTGGGGGAAATTTCATAAGATATACTAAAGGTATAGCGCTTTCTATTGTTGCTTTCGATCGCGGCGATCATCCTTTTACTTTTGAAGTCTTGGAGTTTGAACTCCTTGGGTCCTAGCTCAATGGTTAAAAGCCTTATATAAGAACTTATTATTATTATTATTATTAATCATTGCACTGATACTTTTGTAAAGGAAACCATTTTGCCTCGATTCTCCATCCTGTTCATCCTCTCTCAATGACCTCTCTGACATTCCCAGAGCATCGTCCCAAGAGTCCAGAACCCTCGGTATCGACCGGCCGACTTACGACTACAGCCTTGAGACCACCCTGGGCGCCGACCGGCCAACGTACGACTACAGCCTCTGAAGCAAGTGGGAATCAGTGCAAGCCGGCAGAGTGTCCCTGGGGGACCCTGGAGCCCCTGTTGATGCTCAGACGACGCCATGAACTTTTCATACACAGTACCACCTGTAAGTCAGGGTTCCAACAGTCCTGGAAAAATCCTGGAAAAAGCCTGGAGTTGGTCTTGGCAAGTCGTGGAAAAGTCAGTGAATTTTGTTATTTTACACGGAGTCAAGGAAAAAGTCATGGAATCTCACACAACCTATACCGGATAACATTTTCATTTTACATATCTATGGGTGGTGAAGTGTGGTCTAGTGGCTAGGGTTCGTGACGCATGATCAGAGGGTCGGGGGTTCGAATCCAGCTGCTGGCCATTATGTTGTGTCCTTGGGCAAGCCGCTTCGCCCCCACTTGCCCCACTTGGATACTTTGAGTCTCTCAAAATTGTGGTATGGATCCGGCCTTAGGCGGAGGCCATCTTGTTGATGGTAATTAAGGCACACTGCCAAGACCTTTATTTTCAGTGTGATGACTGGCCGTTGTGTTGTAAATAGGTTCCTAAGCAGTAGTGCAACTAGGGTTAAACTTCGGCAGGCGTGTAGGTGTGCACACATTTTCAAGGGGGAGGGGGCGCTGAAGGCAAATGATGCATTTCTTTGGGAGGGGGGTGCATGGGGGAGGGCACGTGCCCCCATAGTTACGACGCTGTTCCTACAATGTAAGATGCAAAAGAAACAGCTTAGATAGAGAAAGTGGTCATGGAAAGCCCTTATTAATTCCCAGAAAAGTCGTTAAATTTCATTTTAAGATTTCGGTGGGAATCCTGAGAATTCCTGACCGTAAACGTTCTATTTCTTACAAAAATTTAGAGACATGAAGATACAATGTTTATGTACAAAAACTGCCCCCTCAAAAAAAACACCCCAAAAACATGGCCGATTTTTAAATGAAAAACAAAAAAACAGTGCTATTATTTGTATTAACTTTTTTCTAGGAAAATGTCTTTTCCTTTTCCATCTGAAGGGAATATACAACGTTTGCAAATATACAAACGAAATTACCAAATTATCATGAAATACCTTGCTGGACTGTTAGGGGACGACAGCCTAAAGCATCCTGTAAAATCATGGCACCTGGTGTGCTGTCATTTTCAAGAAAAGTGGTATTTTTGTATCGATTTCCAACACTGGTCAGGTGACCAGCGTTGGAAAAAAAACTGGCTTTTTCAAATACTGGCCCCCATTCCAACATTTACTATATAGTTAGTCTGAATTTTTTTCTGCAATCGATTTCACACCTACGTTGTATGAATGGGTATAAGCTAGCTAGACTGTCTGGTTCCCTGACGTTAAAATTCCCTGAAGTCTATAAATTGCTCCATTTCAATTTAAGTGGGGTCAGAAAACCAGAGTGCAAGAACACGATTGTTTTTGTTGGGTTTTCGGCATCTACGAACACAAAACGTCAAACAAGTCAGTGTAACAGTACTTGCCATACAGTACTACTCTCTCCCCCCCCCCCCCCCCTAAAAAAAACATTCATTTCTGAAAATTACAGGAAAAGCAAATGTTGTATATTCCCTTTAAAGGGAAAATACAACATTTGCAAACATCAAAAAATAAAACTACCAAATCATTTTGAAATACCTTGCTGGACTGTTAGTGAATGACAGTGTAAAGCATCCTGTAAAATCATGGCACCTGGTATACTGTCATTTTCAAGAAAAGTGGTATTTTTGTATCAATTTCAGACGCTGGTCGGCTGACCAGCGTTGGAAAAAACTGGCTTTTTTTCAAATACTGGCCCCAATTGACCATCGCACTTGTTTGCAATTGATTACACACCTATGAACGGGTACAAGCCAGCTAGACTGGTTCCCTGACCTTACAATTCCCCAATGTATGTAAACTGCTCTGTTTCTTCTTATATGGAGTCAGGGAACCAGACTACAGGAAAATGATTGTTTTTCTTGGTTTTTATAGCATTTTCGAACCCAAAACCTCAACAAAGTCAGTGTAACTATATTTGCTATATATTTCCAACCCCCCAATTCCATCCATTTCTGAAAATTACAGCAAAAGCAAATGATGTATATTCCCGTTAAGGATTGCAACCTTTGTGTGTATATTTTGTTTTGAGAAAGTTGGTTTCGAATCTAGTGTTATTATTATCATAATCCCTTTGACATCTGCCTTCTATTGGGAATCGAAAGAAGAAGAAGTGAAAGTTGAAAGATTGTGTACTTTGACATTCTGTTTGTATATACATTGCTGGCTTGCAGTCGGTTTTGTATACACTGACCTCGTGTACACACACACTTACTAAAATACACTGTTTATGTCATAAAAGATGGAAAGTTAAAAAAAAAAAGAGTTGTGCCATGCCTCTCATTTCCCGATACAGGGTGAGTAAAAAAAAAACGAAACCCAAATGTTGGGACCATTGTTTTCTGGAAATTCTGCATGTAGCACTTTCAAAATCTAGGATATAAAAGCCCAATTCATAAGCTTTCTTTTAGTACAAGAATCATTCAAATCACTCATGTACTTTTCAAGTTACGGACTTTTAAACACAACCACCGTTTTAAGGTTCTGTCCACGGATCACCAAAAAGTGTGCGTTCTTTCAGCAAAACGAAAACAATTCACACACTTCCCTATTAGATTTGTTTTCGTTTTGCTGAAAGAACACTGAACTTTTTTGCGATCCGTGGACAGAACCTTAAAACGGTGGTTGTGTTTAAATTTCCGTAACTTAAGTACATGAGTGATTTGAATGATTCTTGTACTAAAAGAAAGCTTATGAATTGGGCTTTCATATCCTAGATTTTGAAAATGCTACATGCAGAACTACCCTAAAACAATAGTCCCAACATTTGGGTTTCGTTTGTTTTACTCACTCTGTACAATGTATTGTTTTAACCACAAATCTCAGAAGTCCACCCTAACACGCATTGGTTCCCCGGTATTTAAAATCTTGAATTGCACATAAACAAAGTACCGGTTGCCTTCAGTGCCCCCTTGACAAATTGGTGCACCAGGTAATGTGATACACCGTGCCCTCTGGAGACATGCACACAATAGGGAACAAAATATTGTATACGTCTCCACAGGGCAATTTCTATAGATGAATACGTCTCCACAAGGTTTTCACGAAAAAGATATGTGGATTTTTCTTAAAAACTACGAATTTCCAAGGTGGGTTGATGTGTCGCAAATGGAAGAGTTTTAGAAAAGGGATATTAAGTCTGAATTTCAGCCAAGAAAAAATTAGTTCTGATAAAATATTTAGAGCATTTTGAAACTACACTTTCAAACTCGAAAACTACTACACGAGAACAAAGGAATGTCTCCACAAGATTTTCAGTGTACATGCCCCGAGAAGTTTACCCCTAGTTACGTCGCTGCTAACACGCTTCAAGTATTTTTTGTTTCAAATGGAAAAGGTTCTACGATCTTAAAGTTCAACATTCTGTAGTAAACCAATGGACAGTGAAGTTAAACTCTGTAAAGAATTTTCAATGGACAAATAAACTGATGAGAATTTCCCCTTATTACTACCCGAAGTGCGCCATGACTATTTCCTGTTTTTTTTTCCCATCAATTTTTCTGCTCGCACCAAACCAGAAATTATGTTCAAAACATAAAATCTTTACACAACATTCACAAGATCCAACTTTCAGAAACCAAAAAGGGGAGTCAAAAAGAAAGTGACCATAAACTAAAACATTTTAAAACTTATGTAGCTCGCTTCATTTCACAAAAAATAATAGGGATAAAGTACATTTTGTTGAGCAGTAATTGTGAAAATTCATTTAATTTGCATGCTTTATTCCCAAGTCACGACTATTTTAATAAGATCACACAATTCAGCTGTCCACCACTGATCATTTACCGTTCTACGAACTGATGAAAAACCCATTAAATACAATTAAACATAAACGTTTTCCTACCTCCATGAATGAATGACAACTTGCAAAGGAAAACATACAAAAATCGCCATGAATAGTCCAGAAGAAAAAAAAAAGCAGTAGACTTGTGCCTCATAATTCAAAACACACAATCTGACATCAAAACTAAAGTTGCAGTATTGACTCAAATTATTAAAATCCCGTTTGTATTTGCGTGTGTGTAAACCGTAATTCTTACTGGGCTCAATTGCTTCCAATGGCATTCAATGGACAGCTATAAAAATAGCTTCTTAATAATAGTAAAACATGCATAACTTTTGATGGCATGGGTCAATTTCAGTAGTTTTTTTCCCAGATGAGTAGAAGAACATGTTCTTATTAGACGTACTTCGTGCGTGTATTAAATTTGACTAGTTTTTTTTTTAGAAAAAAATACTTATCTATGTCACTTCCTTTTTGACTCGCCCTGTAGAGTTGAACCATGTACAGCAATTCCTCGTACATGTACTTGTCATTGGGATTTTCAGCCGTTATCAGGAACAGAAGAAGGAACATAAAATGGAACAGATACCAAAACAATCTTTGAAACATCTTTGATTTTTTTGTCTAACACGATATTACCCTGAAACTATTGTTATTTCCGGAATTAAATGTAACTATTATTATTATAATTTAACAGACACCAACAACATCTGAAACATTTTTTGGGATTTTTGGTTCTTGTCTGTCCAAGACGATCAATACCTGGTAATTTCCCAAATATAAATTTCTAGGGAACTATTATAATAGTTTCTCTTAATTTATTAGGAAACAACTTCCTCCTCATGTGTGCACGCAACCTGAATCATTTCTAGACCGAAAACGAAACTCTAATGTCCTGATCTGAAAATGGTGCTCAAAATGGCTGTGGACACCTGAAGACGTACCCGTCCGTGTGCTATTTGAAGCCCGCCGCAAACGAAAGCTACATGTACGTGCTGATCAAAAACTCGTCGGAGGCCGTTTGCTCGGTACGTAGTTGTCGTGTAGTCTATGGTCTACTGATTAATTAGGCAAGACAAGCGCTTCTTAACCTCTACTTTTTGACCAACCAGTGGGCGTTTTCTTTATCGGGTCTTTGTCACCCGTTGCGCGTCATAGACAATGGATAAACAAAAACCTGTGTCACCCGCTCTGTATCATGTTACGCGATATGCGCCCGGCTGTTGTATTACAAAACACTGCATTCTAATTGACCAATCAAACCTTTTATTCCTGATTTGGGAATGTAATGACGTCACGATTGAGATAAAGTCGACTCCGATTGGTGCTTGCGTGCGGCTTGCATAATATCTGCATAGCGCATGTATAGATATATCTGACGTTATACAGGAGACTTGGCATAAAAGTGTTGCAGGAGTTTTCAAAAAAGAGATTATCTGATTGCCATTTTCCATAGCAATGGAGAGTTATTCAGATTTGAATGAGAAATCAAACAAACAAACAAAATCGGCATAGGCCTATATAGTGGAATTGCACCCTGGCAAATAATTAAGTTTAGGTCAGCCTGGTTCCCGCCCCAGTTAGAATCGATAATGTAGGGACGGGAACCAGTCTGTCTTTCCTATTTTTCATTCAGTTGCAGACGTCAAAATACAAAAACAAAAGCCAACTTTTTGTAATCGACACCATTTGCAAAATGAAACTTAAAATGTCATGAAATATCCTACTTGATATATATGAAAGGATCGTGCGTCCTGTGATATTATTGCGCCTAGTTCATGCTGTCATTTTTAAGCTCTAGCAGGAGCTTCTATGTCACTTGGTGGTCGGTCGGTCGGTCGGTCGGTCGGTCG